ACATACACACACACACACACACACACACACCAAGCTCAGAGTGTTTCCCAGGCTGAGCTGCACCAACACTAAGTTGCATCTTCTGCTGTTGCATAGTTCCAATGGCCTGAACTCTATTCCTCGTTCTTTTAAAAAAAGATTTATTGTATTATCGGTGTGTGTGTGTGTGTGTGTGTGTGTGTGTGTGTGTGTGTGTGTGTGTTTGAGTGCAGGTTTGCGTGTATGCATGCATATTTGTGTGAATGCCCATAGAGGCCAGAAGAAGATCCCTTAGAGGTGGAGTGACATACAGTTGTGACCACCTGATGTGGGCGCTGGGAACTGAACCCATGTCCTCTGCAAGAGCAGCAATGACTCTTAACTAGCGAGCCCCATCTCTTCGTCCTTAAAGAGAGCCACACAAGACAACCTCCCTCTCCTTGCAGAAGTGATGCACCCTTACATCCTACTCTACAAGAGTCTGTGCACAGAAGAACAAGTTGGGAGGCAAAGGTAGCCTCAGCCATAGAGCAGCTGAAGCTCCGGAGTTTTCTTGTCACCTACCTATTTGTTTACACTAGACTAAACAAAGTTTCCCATCACTGGCAGCTAAAACACCTTAAACGACATGCATCCATGAATGCAAAACTCTTTTACTTAGGGCCTTAAAAATCTAGAGCTTTGGGGGCGAGAGAGATGACTTAGTATAAGAACACTGTCTGCTCTTACAGAGGCTGCTCCTGCAGAGGACCGAACTTCAATTCTAGCACCTACGTGGCAGCTAATAATCGTTTGTAACTAGAGTTCCTGGGGAATCTGATGCCCTCTTCTGACCTCTGAGCACACTGCATGATAAAGGTGCACCTACATACATGCAGGCAATATACTCATTACACATATAATATCTTTTTTAAAACCTAGAGTTTTTGGTTTCCCTAGTAGGCAGTGACTTCTCAGAGAAACTCCAACACACCAAAATCATTACTTACTACATAAAGCAGATCTGCAGATAAAGTAACTAGGTTATTACAGAATGTTATCACCCCACAAAAACAAAGAAAATGCCACTTTCTCCTAATGAGATACAAAACAATGCACAAATATTGGTACATACCAGCATTCTTTTCAAACTTGAGTGCATCAAAATTACCTGTAGAGTTCTGGCTTATTCCAGAAACAAAGTAGGATTTGAACTCAAGGGAGACCACACACCAACCTTTAGGAACAAAAAGCCCTATGTGTTCTTGGTCACTGTTATTCCTCTAGAGTCTGAATGGGATAGTCCATACCAGAGACACAGGCAAGTACAGGGTTAGATGCATGTCCCACCTCATGCCAAAAGAAGACACACCCAGATGTGGTACAACAGGTCTTTAATCCCAGCACTCTAGAGGCAGAGGCAGGTGGATCTCTGTGAATTCCAGGCCAGCCTCATCTATGCAGCGAATTGCAGGCCTGCCAAGGCTACAGTAAGTCCCTGACTCAAAAAAAAAAGGAAAGAAAAAAGAAAGAGAATACAAATGAAAGACATATTCCCATAATTCATCTATCCATAAAAACCTCTCTGTTGGTTCAAACAGTACTATCAGAGTCCCGTAGGCTCAAGGTCACCCAGAGGAAAACCAAGCCTTCCGCTGCAGTCACCCTCCAAACAGCTCCAGGTAGAATCTGATCCAAAGTTTGGGCCTCCTGCTGTGAATAACCAAATCTCTGGCCTTGAGCCTGAATTTCTAATTTAAACTTGAAGCCAAGAACTGTTAAACCCAAACCTAGAGCTGCCACTCAAATACTGATGAATAGCAAAGTAGCAAAGCATAGAACACACTTTTCCAGGCCAGGAGCCTCACCAGTCTCCCAGTACCCTCCCAATGCTTCAGTTGCAGGCATGAGGCCAGGACACTGCCCCAAATTTCCGATCCTGTTTCCAGATCTTTCTTGAGCCAGGGTAAAGAGAGTTATCTAACAGATGCCTGCTCCTGGCATCATCCAAAAGCAGAAGCAGGTATCTAAAAAGTGCTCAAAAGGAGTCCTTATGTGTTCCAAATCTCAAATATCACATGTCACTTTAAAATTTAAATTTTTAAATTTTATTTTATTTTTACTTTATGTGTATGAGTGTTTTACCTGCATGTATGTAGTGCACCAGGTATGTGCAATGCCTGTGGCAGCCTGAAGTATGCATAAGATACCCGGGAGCTGGAGTTATGGAAGACTGTCAGCTGCCATGTGGGTGCCAGGAACCAAACCCAGGTCCTCTGGAAGAACAGATGCTCTTAACTGCTGAACCATCTCTCTAGCCTGCTTAAAATGTTAAGAAGAACCACCACCAAACAGCATCTAAAACCCATGCTTATTGTTAGAATTCTGCAGAACATTCCCAAAGACACAAATTCCATGGAATTTACAACTGGCTGTCAGTAAATGACCTCAGCCTACCCAGGTCCTATCATCTCTGCAAATTGCCGTGTAAAAATGAGTTAGAGAACGCCCATTTTTCTACCAGCTTATTCAGATTCCTCAATTAAAAGAAAATCCTAGCTTTTCCTTTATAAAGTGTTCTCTTTCTAATTCACTGTTGTTAGATGTTATCTGAAGTTCAAGGTTTTGGGGGAAGGCTTACTATTTCTCATTCTGAAAAAAAGAGAGAACACTTTTAAAAAAAAACTTTAAAAAATTTTTATTATTTTTATTTTATGTGTATGTGTGTACTGCCTGCATGTAGGTAAGTGCATCTGTGTCATGCAATGCCCGCGGAGGTCAGAAGGGGCTGTTGGATCCCCTGGGACTGGAGTTACAGACAGTTGTTAGCTGCCGTGTGGGTGTTGGGATTCGAACCCGGGTCTTCTGCAAGAACAACCAGTGTTCTTAACCACTGAGCCATCTCTCCAGCCCCAAGAGAACACTGTAACCCTCTAACTTTTATTGGATCTGAATTTTATGTAGCACAGAGATCCTACTTTTCTTTACTATATAAAGGGTGGATGATGGAGATACACTCTGAGAGAAATAAGTCATTTGGCAATTTCATTACTGTGCAAATATTACCACAAGCACTTATACAAACCTATACGTGATGGTTAATCACTTGAGTGCCCTCTTACTACAGTCAATAAATTTGGTAAACTTGGGGTGCTCGAGGCTGCAGCTGGCATAGCACAGCGTGTCTTAAGGAAACTTAAAATAGTAAAACTAAAATACAAAGAAAAACATAGTAAATACATAAACCTGTAACAGTTGCTCATTCTCATTATTACTATGGGGCTTGGGACATGGTTCAGTGGTAAGTCCTGGTTCCATCCCCAGTACCACCAAAGTAAATATTATGTACTGTACATAATTAATTGTATGGGGTAACTCCTATAAAACTCGTAAGAAATTTGGTTTACATGAGCATCACTGAAAACATGAACAATTCCTTAACTAGGATGTTACAATCACTACAAGTTTATAAGGATGGCACCTCTGAGAGAATTTTTTTAGTTCCATTATAATTTTACAGGACCACTCTCATATCTGTAGTTTGTCATTACCCAAAACATGTATGTGTGGAAAATTACTATAGAATTGATCCATAGTAGTGTAAGCCACTAACAGATGATGTGTAAGTCAGAAAGAACAGGCAGCCAAGCTGACTGTGGCCCTAACTGCCTTCGTGGGTATTTTCCATATATATACACCTGCTCTTGTATAGCGTTCATAAACTACTTGGCTCAGTGTTCTGTTGAACAGACCAGTTCTCTTACTTTCTTTTTTCGGCTTTAAAAGTAGCATAAGTCAGAGGCTGGAGAGATGGCTCAGTGATTAAAAGCACTGACTGCTCTTGTAGAGGACCTGGGTTCGATTCCCAACACCCACATGGTGACTAACAACAGTCTATAACTCCAGTTCAAGGGGAATCCGACGCCCCTCTTCTAACCTCTGCGGGCATTGCATGACATGGGTGCACTTACATACATGTAGGCAATACTCTCATACATATAAAATTAAAAAATATAATAAATAAAATATTTTTTAAGTAGCTTTTAAGTCCACTGTGAAGAATGCTGGAAATTTCAGCAAATGCCTCTAAGATGGAACACCATCTTCATCTTCACAGCTCTCTCGACTAGTGACACTGAGCATCACTTGACCTTCTCCAAGGGTCGGGACCTCCTCCCGGGTTCCAAAGCTTGGTTAAGTCTTGTAGAGCAGACAGGGTGCATCACACTTCTTAATTTCTATGCTGTGCAAACTGCCACACTGAGCTCCTCACAACGTAGCTTCACAAGGGCACTGTGTGTGTGTGTGTGTGTGTGTGTGTCCTTAAACAGTCAGACTCCCGCTGTGGGGATCTGTGAACTTAAAGACAACGGCCCAACTAAATCCAAACAGTTACTGCCACTCAACTACGGCTGGACTATCCACGCAGGAACACAGCACTTAGCAACATTGCTACCTTGAGAACTCATGATCAGGCTGGGGGCGACCCAGAAAACAGATGCAAATAGGCTTTTCCGCCCCAAAGAGAGGTGTCCCAGTTTCTAATGATCTAGGTGCAAACTGGTAATACAACTAGAGAACGCAAGGAAGTGGCACAGGAGAACGATGCATGCTAAGGAGGCCTGAGCAGATGCTCCAGGACACGGTCCAGACACGGCGATCAGTAGAGGTACACGTCGGGCTCAGGCCCAAGTCGGGCTCGCTTCCCGCTCGGGTTCCCCTCGTCACTCCAGACTCTACCCGGGGCGAGGGCAGGAATCTCCGCCGCCCAGGCGCACACGCGCTTCGGGCTCTTAAGAAGTTTGGGGCGGCGGCTGCGCTCCAGGACGGTCCCTCAGCTCGGTGCCAACCACCCCTCCCGTCCCGAGATTGAGCGCTACAGAAAAGCGGACGAGGGTTAGGCACCCTACCGTAAGCACCCAGGCATCCCCACCGCCGGGTACTGGCCCGGTACTGGCAGACCCCCGCGGCCCGGCTCCGTCCTCCTCGGCCTCCCTCGGCTCTCCTCCCCTCCGCTCCACTCCGCGCTCCGCTCAGCTCACCTGGGGACTGGGAGGCTCCGCTTTCCGCTAGCCGGTCTGGGATGTGCACGCAGGAGCCGGGCGCTGGGTGCCGGGTGCCGGATGCCACAGCAGCTCCGACGCTCCCCGCCTGCCCTCACCGTAGCTGTTCTTTGTGTCCGGCGCACTCCCCAAGACTCCCAAGGCCTCCGGGCACCGCCCCTCAGTCTCGCGGGGCCTCCCCAGGGAAGGGGAGGGGCGGTCTGCCGGGGCGGGGCTATAAGGGGCGGGGCGAGGAGGACTGAGGGGCGGGGTTAGGGGCCCAGGCAGCCCTCCAGGATGTAAGTCTCTAGAGGTGAGCCCTGTGCACAGTGGCTATTCACAGTTGTTCTGGAAACAGCCCCTGCCTCAGGTCAGCTTGGAACAATACCTTAACACCCAGCCCCACCATGGAGAAAACTAGGAGGCTAAAACTTAAAGTGACTGTCTCCATCCATCATACAATCAGTAAAGATATATATTACGCCCAGTGAGAAAGCAACAGTGATAGTGGAGGAACAAAGACTCTGGAAGATGCAGACAAGATGACAATGTAAAAGCCTGAGTGAAGGGGGTTGGAGAGATGGTTCCGTGCTTAAGAGCACAGAAGAGCTCTTGTAGATGCCTGTGGAGCGCACGTGGAGATCGAGAGAGAGAGAGAGAGAGAGAGAGAGAGAGAGAGAGAGAGAAAATGAAAGGTTTTTAAAAATCCTGAATAAAATACAGAAAAGTGCGAGATGGTTATAAATGCACAAGGAGAAGCAAAGCAGGATACAGGGCTAAGAAGTGCGGGAGGTCAGCCAGGCCCAGTCAGAAGGTCAGAGGGAAGGTGACACCCTATATGAGCTAGGAGCAGGGGTCTTCTGCTCTGATGAGGACTTGGCTTCTGTGAGCTGTTCAATACTGGAAATGTACTCTATTTAGGGTACCGTGTGTTTTTTAAAATCATGGTGTATGCATCAGTCAGGAATAATTAGAATTTCTACCTCATCATTTCCTTATGCCTTCAGCCTTTGAGTTCCCCTCTAGTTCTTCATAGAACATAGTCTAGGTTATTGTGATGCTAACAAGATCATTTGGCCACAAGGTGGAGGAGGGAGGACTCAGATAAGAGTAAGGAGAAAGCATAGCAAACCAGGCTGGCTGGCTGGCTGGTTGCTTGGACAGGGCCGAAGTAGGAGAAATGATTGAATTCAGGATAGGTGGCATTTGGTGTGCCTAGTGACAGGATGTTCTCCTATATTGCAGGTGGGTTATGAGAAAGGAAAAAGAGGTCAAAAGAGGCTCCAAGATTTTGGCCTGAGCAACCACAATTACAAATTTTGTGTTTGGTTCTTTCCCTGTGAAGATCTGAAGCCAAATGGCTTGGGGGAGAAGGATGCAGGGGGAAAGCTAGGTTCTGGGGGATAGGGTGTGATCATCAAAGGCAAGCAACTCTTCCAAGTCCCTGCAAGTGGAGTACTCCACACAGAGTGGAAGGCAGCCAAGGATCAGACTCACACCTTAATCTGACCTGCTGTGCTTTGGCTGCATTCCCTTTGCTATGCCCATAACTTGTCCCAGCCAGTGATGGACATGATAGCCATGCACACTCTGTAGCAGTGGTCCAGCTATGGGGCACATAGCCAGGGACTCTGCATCACTCCAGGTCATAATACTGAGTTCCCAAAGATGCACTGCACCATGTAGCTGCCACTGTGAGGAGCATCTGTTCTTGGAAACAGACATGGTTCAGTGGTTAAAGGCACTTGCCTTGAAACCTGATGACTGAGTTTGATCCCAGAACCCACATGAAGGTAGGAGGAGAGAATTAACTCCACAAAAGTTGTCCTCTTCACATGCACACTGTGGCACATGTGCCACAGACATCATGAACACACACACATTCTCACACACATATCATGAGCACACACATTCACACAATAATAATAAAAATAATTTCTTTTTACGGCGCATCTCTTCTATAAAGCTCCTTGCACTCTGGGATTTTCATGCACCAATTGGAGAATGAATTTGGTGTCTGAAGGTGAGGATCACAGCACCATTTACTGTTTGACTATATCCCACTCCATCGTATAATCATGGGGATCTTCACTTTCTTCATCTGTAGAGATATGGAAATATACTAATTGCAGAGAGGTGAACCAAATGATCCACTCAAGTTGACAACCAAGACTAGCCATCAAGGCAGTCCTGGTAAGATAAATGCAGGGTATGTTACTCAGTTTTTCCTAACTGTAGCAAATAGATGAGATAATCAACTTATAAAGAGAAAAGGTTTGCTTTGACTTGAAGTTTTAAGAGTTTCAGTCCATGATCATTTGTCTTTGATGCTTATGGGCCTGTGGCAAGTTACCACATCATAGCTGGGAAACAAAAAAGAGAAACATGTTCCAGGGTTCCTTCAAGAACACTTCCTCAATGAATAAAAGATCTCCTACTAAGCCCCACCTCCTAAAGGTTCAGCAGCACCACAGGCTGAAGAGCTGCACTGTGTGGGGGACATACCAGATCCAAACTATTGTGTAAGGAGAATAGGTTCTTAACTTGACTATTTAAAATGTTAAAATACCGTGCCCAAGCCCTTCTTCCTGGAGATTATGATGTCATTTGCTCAGGAAAAAAAGTTTGCGTCCAGGGGACTGGAGAGATGGCTCAGCAGTTAAAAGCACTAACTGCTCTTGCAGAGGACCTAGGTTCAATTCCCAGCACCCACATGGCAGCTACGAACTGTCCTTAACTCCAGTTCCAGGAATATCCGAAGCGCTCTTCTGACGTCTGCGGTATTGTATGACACAGGTGACTTACATACATGCAAGCAATACACTCATACACATAAAATAAAAATAATCAATTAAAAAAATTTTTTGGTCTTTTTCAGAAAGGGTCTCCCTGTAGCCCCAGCTGTCCTGGAACTCACTATGTAGACCAGGCTGGCCTTGAACTCACAGAGATACGCCTGCCTCTGCCTCCCAAGTGCTGGGATTAAAGGCATGCACCACCACACCTGGCCCTGCATTATTTATTTTTTAATGTTTAAAAAAAATTATGTGTATGAATGTTTTGCCTGCACATATGTTAAGTGCACTAGTGCTGTGCAGTGCCCACATAGGCCAGAAGAGGGCATCAGAGTCCCTGGAACTGGAGTTACAGATGGTTGTTAGCTGCCATAAAGGTTCTGGGAACTGAACCTGGGTTCTCTGCAAGAAAAGCCAGTGTTCTTAACAACTGAGCCATCTCTCCAACCCAGCATTATTTTTAAATATACAAGCAGTAGCATTTCAGTTTGTGGAAATCTTTGAGAAATTACAAAAATCCAAGAACCTGCTTTTGAACTGTTTCTTTGTACTTGGAATAACAGGATTTCTTGAATAGCATATTTTTCAGTGATTTCAAGATCTACGTTTTCTTACCATGTTGCCCAGCTGCACAAATTGAAGGAGATTGTTGCTAAAAATGAAAGTCGAAAAACAAAAATTGGGAGATGGCTCAGTTGGTAAAGTGCTTGTTGTGTAAGCATGAGGGTCTGAGTTCAGATCTCTGGCACCCAAGTAAGAATTGGGTGTGGTGGCACACATCTGTAACACTAGCACTGGAGTTGGGGGTGGGGCTCAGAGAAAGACAGGTCCCTTCATAGCCAGCCAGTTTACCCAATCAGTGAGCTCTGGGTCCAGTGAGAGGCCCTGTCTCAAAAGATAAGGTGGAGGATGATAGGAGAAAACACCCAACATCAACCCCTGGCCTCCACACACATGCAGGTACATATGCAGTGTACCCATATCCACATGTGCACACACATACACTACACACATGCATATACTATGTATCAGTTTTCTGTTGCTGTGATACAATATAATCAAAAGCAACTTAAGGAAGAAAGAGTTTATTTTGGTTTACAGTTCCAGAGGGATGAGTCCATCACAGCAGGGAAGGCATGGCATGGTAGTGGGAGCAGGAAGCTGGCTGATCACATTTTTTTATCCACACACAGGGCGCAGAGGCAGAAAGCAGGAAGTGGGGGCAAAGCTATGAACCCTAAAGTCTGACCCAGTGACATACTTCCTTCAGCAAAGCTCCACCTTCTAAAGGTTCCATAACCTCCCCAAATAGCACCAGCAATATGGAACCAAGTGTTCAAATACACATGCTTATGGGGGACATTTCTCATTCAAACCACCACATACTCACTAAACAGCACTACACCCACACCCCCACACCCACACCCACACCCCCACAAGAAGGAACAAAGGAATGTCCATATTTCATAGGCGATGGGTTAGCTGTCTATACAGATGAGTAGACACTTGAGATAGAATTAGTGATAAATGCAAAGTCTGCTTTAAAAAGAAACTTCTGTGACTGTATTAAGAGAGGAGAAGGCCCTGGTCAAAGACTATCTGTAAATTATGGAGTAGGAGGGCTTGTGTTAATGACTTCAAGTTGAATTTGCGTCATCTTGTGTTTGATATTTTAAAAACCAGTATGTTCTGGGCTGGGGATGTAGCTCAGGGACACAGTGTGTGCTTAAGACACACGATGCCCTGGGTTCCATTCTCAGCACCACAACAAAATTAATATGCTCTTCATTGACATAAAGGTGTGGTCAAGGGCCTGAGTATGCATATTCTGCTCCAAGCAGATACCACGAGGTACATTTGGTAATCTGGAGTGTCTTGAGTAGATGGAGTTATGGAGAGCTGGACTAGAGAACCCAGGAAAAAGAGGTGGGGATGAAGAATATTTGGGAACTTGAAGGGTTGTTGTTGAATGACAAATTAGATTTGTTCTGAACAACTTTAAAGGGCTGAGCTAGGACTGTGGGGTGGAATTTGTAGAGCTGCAAATCCTGGACTAATTTTAGGTAGGATTTTATTGTAGAAGTGACAGAAAGGCAGCCCCATGAGGGATTCTGCAGAGTGATGTTTAAGCAGAGTCTGGACCTCTGTGGGCTGGAATGTGGTAGCATATTCTAGGCCACTGTGTGGTCTTCAAGAATCCCTCCTATCTCCAGCTTTGCTGCCTTGGAAAAATGAACAGGAAGTATACTGACATCTGAGATTTACCTAGGTCTTTTTTTTTTTTTTTTGAGTCAGAGCTGCATATAGGCAGCTTACTATGTGGCAATATAGCTGAAGCTGTCCTTGAGCTCCTGATCCTCATGCCTCCTCCTGGGATCACAAGTGTAAGTCATCATGCCCAGTTTTATGTGGCACTGGAGGTTGAAGCCATGGCTTTGTATAAGTTAGGAAAGTCCTATACAAACTGAGCTACATCCCCAGCTCTGGAGCTAATTCTTCCTCAGAAGCCTGTTCTCTCTCCCCCTCCCCTTGTTCCCTTCAGGCAGGGTTATAACTCAGTGGTAGAACACTTGCCTAGCACATGCAAGGCCCTAGGCCTAATCCCTAGCACGAGGCAGGGGCGGGGAGTCACTTCATTCTTCTATGGATGCAATAGCAAGGCTTACGACCCATCAGACCCACCTGAGTGTGTATCCAGGCCCTCAGTCTTCCTACTGTGGGTATCTATGGTCTGGTCTTTAGACCCTCCCTTGGACTGTGAGTTGGCTGCTCAGCTCCAGTAGTGGCCTATTCCTGTCCTCAGAGGGAAACTTTCACTCCTTTCTTCTTGGTCTTCTCCACAGCCAACCTGGCCTGAAAGCTCTCCCTGCTCTTCTTAAGGGCTGCACCATCAAGGAGAGGCCTGCACACCTGCCTGCGCCTCATTCGCAGCCACAGCTGTGCTCTTAGAGGACACCCTCCCTTGTCCAGTGCCAACACCCTGACTGACCCACCCTGTGGTGCCTTAAATGGGATTTTTAACATGTTAGGAATTCACTTACAGAATTAGCCGATTTTAGTCATTTTGGAGATTGGTGAAGAGTTTCTGTTAGGGAAGAGAATGTCTGAATATTCCACAGGATTCTGCTTCTCCTTGATACCATGACAGTTATACAAGGCAGGTGGCACCAAATCTTCTGACATTAGGGTGGCAGCTAGAAATGTCAACCCTTGTGCCCATTCACAATGCCAGTGCCCATGCCCACACCCACACCAATGCTCACACCCACATCAATGGCAATGCAGTGCCCATGCCAGTGTTAATGCTTATATCAGTGCCCACACCAGTGTGGCTGCTATGGGACTCTGACACAGGTCTTGCTGGATGGGTTAGCTACAGTCCCTGGGGCTGCTGGGTAAAGGCTGAATTTCAGCACTGTTGGTCAGTGGGCACAGCATTTTCCCTCAGTGCTACACAGGGCATAAGTCCTAGAGCAGTGAAAACAGAGCTGGTGGGCAGGGCCACGAGTTACTCATGTGTCACTGAACTTAGCTGCTTCTTTAGCACTGGAGAGAACATTGCAGCCTTCTCAGAGAAGTGGGAGTGGTCTTGGGCCCCAGGTTCTGTGGATTTGATCTTGGGGTGCTCGTTCACTGCAGCTTAGGGACAGGGAAGACAGAGCGCCACAAAATACTACCTTTTGCCCTTTTCTCCAAGAGGTTCTCAAAGGAGGTGGCCAGCAGCTGGGCCAACAGCAGTGGGCACAGATCAGACTCACGTGGACTCCTCTGCAGGATAGCTTCGGAAGAAGTACAGGCCCAGATGGGGCCCACTCTCATTCTCTTTCATTCTCTTGTTTTGAGATTCGCCTTCCTTGGAGCCTGTGGAAAGAAGGGCGCTGTGCTTTCAGGAGGAGCTCTGCTTGAAGCAGGGTCTCCACTTGAAACTGCCTGCGGGCCTGGCTCTGCCCTACTCTGCATCTTGCTACCATTCAGAGGGCTGGAGTGTGGCTGGTGGAGGCCTCCTTCAACCCAGAGAAAAGGAACCTTTGTTTGCCTGATAAGTCTATCTTTCTGAATCAGTTCTTTTTATTGTAAATAATTAATTAATATTGTACAGTAAAAAAAGGGGAAATAATTGGTCGTTAAGGAGATAAGATACTGGAACACCTTGACAGGCACTACCCGCGCACTTCTGCTCTTGGCCCGCCTTTTCTTCCCTTCCGCCTCCACAGTGGGGCAGCTTTCCTGGACTCCTGGTCTTCTTATAGTTGAATGTCACCGGCTCTAATTAGGTTGGGATGGATCATGAGTTAATTCTGAGCCAATCAAGCTTGCTGTCTTTTGATTGGCTGATAAACTTTATGACCTGGAGGAGTGGGAATCTCACACCATGCAGATAAAGGCTGTGGGCACCTGTGTGTCTTGTCCATCTCTGTCCTCTGTGCCCAGTCTCTGCCTGGCCGTATAGGCAATGTGTTCATTTTCGTGCTGCTTTTTCTTCCTTGTCACTGTGGCTTCACAGGGTTCGAACCTGCCCCACCAAGGTCTGGGTCCCTGACTGGGAAGAGGGTTTTTTGGTGTCCCTGGACTCTGTTGATATAGAAAACAGGGGTGTCAGCAACCCCCATCAGAAGACTTCCTTACACATTTTTTTTTTTTTTTCTTTTGGAAGCGAACATTTTCGGAAGTCTTGGAAACATGACTTCTCAGAAACTGCATGAAATGTCTGCCAGGGCAGACTTAGCAATACCGTGGAGAAGGTACAAATGCTGGAAACATTTGTGCTGTGCTGTGCAGCAAGTTCTGATGCCTGCTGGCCTCCTGCACTGGGTCAGGAGACAGTGCCTGCTGTCTGAGACTTGTCTCCCTCCACACTGCACTGCACTGTGGTCCTTCCCACTAATGGCCTTCTCTTCCCTGTTCTGTAGGGAGCTTCTGGAGACCACGTGCCGCTTGGCCAACACACTGAAGAGGCATGGAGTGCACCGAGGGGACCGTGTGGCCATCTACATGCCTGTGTCTCCACTGGCCGTGGCGGCCATGCTGGCCTGCGCCAGGATTGGAGACATCCATACAGTGGTCTTTGCTGGCTTCAGTGCCGAGTCCTTGGCTGGAAGGATCAATGATGGTGAACATGGGTGGGCATTAGAGTCTCAGGAGTCTCCAGGCCTTTGTATTGAATGCTAGCCACCAGGGCAGAGACTGATGGAGTCGAGCTAGACTTTAAGAAGTTTCACAGACAAATGGCAGATGCCACCTGGTGAATGAACATTTGTTCTATGAGCCTAGATCTGAATGTGTCAGATGGAGTTAGCCAGATAAAGCTGGAGGAAAGAATTCCAGCAGAGGAAACAGCAGGGTGCCAGGCCTGTGGTGGGAGCAGTGTGCCCATGCGAGGCCTACAGGGCCTGACAGAGCCACAGTACAGGGGGAAGGGCATAGAGGCCTGGGGAGCCCCGAGACGCTGGAAGGTATTGAAGGTTAATAGCACTGTCAGGAACAAAGCTGAGGGGTGAGGGAACATCTGTCTCTAGAGACATGGAGGTGAAGGACATGTGGTGCATTATTAAGGCTTTCTGATTGCAGGTGGGTCTGAGTGTCCTGGAAACAGCAGCTAGTAGTGTCTCCTTGCTTACAGTGTTGTCAGAGAGCTAGATGGCAGACTGTCTGAATGGATGGTGGCCCACTGTCTATGCAGCCTGAGCACTCTGTTTCTCATATAGAGCCCCTCTCTGAGCAAGCTTCCCAGGAAGGTGACAGGCTCTGGGAGCCACTGTGTCTTGTTTTGTTCTCAATATCCTTTGAAGATTGCTCATTTCCAGTATAGAGAAATACAATGGATGTGTGTGTGTGTATGTGTGTGTGTGTCTGAGTGTGTGTCTGTGTGTGTGTCTGTGTGTGTTATTGATAATTTAGGCTAGGGCCTTTTACTTGATGGGCCAACACACCCCACCCTTGATTTGTGAGACAGAATCTTGCTATGCAGCTTCCATTGGCTTTGAACTTGAAATCCATCTGCCTCGGCCTCCTAGTGCTGGGATTATGGTGAACACCACTGTGCCCATCAAATATAACTGACTTTTTAAATTTGATCTTATATTCTGTAAGTTTGTTGATTATTTATTAACGTTCATAGTTTTAAAATGGATTTCACAGGATTGTCTACCTACAGGACCGTGTCATCTGTGAGCAGAGCTAGCTTCACTCTCCCTTTCTGCTTTGATGTTTTGTATTGTGTTCTCTTGGCTAACGGCTCTGGCTAGAAGTCCTGCGAGCATGTTGACTAGCAGTGGGGTGAGCAGGCATGCTCGTCTCATTGCTGTTCCTGGAGGGAATGCTTCAGTCTTTCTCCTCTGGGTGTGATGTCAGCTATGGCTTTGCACAGATGCCCTTTATCAGCTTGAAGGAGCTTCTTCTGATTCCTTTGTTGAGTGTTTCTACCGTGAAACGCATAGAATTTTGTCAGATGCTTTTTGTGCATTCATTGAGTTATGAGCTTTTCCTTTATTCTGTTTTTTCTTGCCGTCCCGAATGCCAATCCCACTTGCCGTAATCTTATTACTAGCATGGCATTGAGGACTTTGCTGTTTTTCATAAGGGATATTCGTTCACCTGTAGTTTTCTTTTTTTTAATTTTTTTTTTTTTTTTGAGGCAGGGCCTCACTTGGTAGGGCTTGGACTCACAGAGATCTGCCTCTGCCTCCCAAGTGCTGGGATTGAAGGTATGCACTAACATGCCTGGCTTCTTTTAATGTTTTAAAAAAATTATTATTTTTATTTTGTGTATCTGTGTGTATTGCCTGCATGTATATAAGTGCACCTGTGTCGTGCAATGCCCTCAGAGTTTGGAAGAGGGTATCGGATTCCCGGGAACTGGGTTATAGACAGTTGTTAGCTGCTGTGTGGGTGCTGGGAATCGAACTGATTTGAAAGTATATCTTCCTTCAGTAAGAGCTTGAGAAGGATTGGTGTTAATTCTTCCAAGCTGTCTGCTGCTGGTCTTTTCTTTATGAGGAAGTTACTCTTCTCTTTTTGATAAGGAAACAGACACAGAGCGTTAAGTAACTTACCCAGAGTCACAGAGTTGGTAAGTGGGACAGCTGCTGTTTTCTACCGGAGTTCATGCTGTGACATTTAGCAGGCTGCCCCTTCCACTCCTGCTGTTATGACCATGGTGTCTAAGTGTATCTGCTAGTTTTCTCTGAGTGGAAGAATGATAGCTGACCCTAGGTGGCTGTAGTTTGTGGAGATTTGGTAGCTGGGGCTAGGGAAGCTTCCAGAACCTTAGGATCCATGAATGATCAGTATGGGAGTTTGGGAGCTGACTAGTTCTGAGGCTCAGTAGGGGCCCTCCTGCAACTATTCTCCATGATTGTACCACTAAGAAAAAGCTTCCCCTTTAGTTATCTTAGTGATCCTGGGAAGCACCATGGATGGTGGGCTGCAAGACTGGTAAGAAGAGCCACATTGGAGGGGGTGATATCAGAGCTTCTTTTATAGGAGAGCATGGGCAGCAAAGTAGCAGCCATGCATCAGGTTAGCCACATGCATTGGAGATTTACACTGTCTCCTGAAACCTTCTGGGTGAGGTCAGCGGAGTAGGGTAACTCTCCAGTACCTCTCTCTTGAGTCTGGGAGAGTCCTCTGGTATAGACATCAAAAGGCCCCAGTGTATTATTTTTGTGACCAAATACCTTTTGGCAGAAACAACTTAAATGAGGAAGGATTTATTTTGTATCAAGGTTTTGGAGAGTTCAGTCCATGATTGCTTGGCACCATTGATTTTGGGCCCATGGTGAGACAGAAGCTGCTCACCTCATGGCAGGCAGGAAGCAGAGAAAGAGACAGGGTACCAAGTATAACCTTCAAATGCATGCCCCTAGTGACCCACTCCTTCCAGTTAGGCTTCATCTGCTAAAGTTTCCAGAACCTCTCAAAATAGCACCACTGCCTGGGAGCCTTTGGGGGAACGCTTGAGATTCAAGCATAATACCCAGGGATATGGGTGAAGCCTGCCAGACAGTGCCACAGCAGAGTATTTACTATAGACGCTTACATACAAGTAGGCTGAATAGTAACTCACAGCTGGGATTCTGCCAGGTCATCCCCTTGTCATAGTGTGGAGGGTAGTCCTCAGGTCCAATGTGTCTCTCATCCTCCCTTTGGGCCTCACCTAGCTTGGCTGTAGAAGCTAGTGCTTCCCAGGAGAGCATGACTGGGTTATCGAAGAACAGGGGTGTAGCAGGAGAGTGTTCCCCTGAAGGCAAGGCAGGCTATGGCTCTTGGAACTCTTCCTGAGGACAGTTGTTCTAGTCTCTGGACAGTAAAGGGCCTTGGCCTATAGAAGTCACTGGCAGTGCTGGCCACACAGGACCACTGGGACTTGGTCTTTGTCTCTTGGTGTTGCTCTGTCACTGTGGACATTGTAGGCAATGTGACTGCCCCTCACTTGGAGAAAGCTCCTGAGGCAGATGAGAGTGTGGAAACCAGGCTGGGAGACTGTCTTTTTGCTGCTGACTTGGGAGAAGAAGAGTGTTGAATCTCAAGGTAGTTTGTTTCTGGTTCCTTCCTGCTCATCCTCAGAACTGGGGAAACACCTGGCACTTCTGTACTGCACCCTGAATTTGCACAGCAGGCAGAACCTCACTTTTTCAGTTGGTTCTTTTACTTGATTGGACATCCTCTGTCACACTCTCAGGCCTAGAATGTGCAGTCAAGTCAGCCTGTGAAGGCTGAAACTGATCAGACATGTTTGTGTTGTATTCCTTAGCCAAGTGCAAGGTGGTTATTACCTTCAACCAAGGAGTCCGGGGAGGGCGTGTGGTGGAACTGAAGAAAATAGTGGATGAAGCTGTGAAGAATTGCCCAACAATCCAGCATGTCCTTGTAGCGCACAGGACAGATGCCAAGGTGCCCATGGGGGATCTGGATGTCCCCCTGGAGCAGGTGGGTTTACCTCGTGTTGTGCAGTGGGAGGAGGAGGGGTTATTATTAGATTACTTGGGTCTGAGAATTGTTAGGTCCTCAGTCTGGGTTTCCCCTTTTCCTCCACACCACGCTCGGTGTCTTGCATATGCTAAGCATGAGCTTTAACACTGAACTTTACCACCAGCCTCTATCCATCTTTTTGTGTCTTCTCTGCATCTGAATTTGAACATAAGCAGGTCAGAGAATGTAAACTTTTAGAGTCCCAAAGCATCCAGGGGGAAGTGGTACTCTCAAGGAGCCTAATAGTGGGGAGCAGCTAAATGCCCTGGCTGGATGATGTGCTGTGCCCCTCCCAGGAGATGGCCAAGGAGGCCCCTGTGTGCACCCCTGAAAGCATGGGCAGTGAAGACATGCTCTTCATGCTGTGCACCTCTGGGAGCACTGGTTCACCCAAGGGAATCGTCCATACGCAGGCGGGCTACCTATTGTATGCTGCCCTGACGCACAAGGTAGGTACTTTGGGGAGAAGAGTGGAGGATGCCCCTGTCATGCCTCTGGCAGATTCTGGACAGGGTGAGGAGGAGCCACAGTGAAGGCTGGTACTCCTGCAACCATGGGCTTGCAGTGTTGATGCTTGATGGTCGTATATTCGTGAACAGGCTGCTATTATTTGTGATTTGTGTGTGTGTGTGTGTGTGTGTGTGTGTGTGTGTGTGTGTGTGTGTGTAGCTGGGGTCCTGCATCTGAGTCTGCTGGCCCAGCAGCCCCTCTGCCCTGCTCTGCCTCCTTCTGCTGGAGGTG